AATGTTTAGTAAGTTCATTAGTAAACATTAACAAGAATATTATCTCATATTTCTAGCTATGTGAATATATATATTAACTCATGATCTGTTAAGCATTATATAATGTTTGTTAATGATTTATAAATGAAAGTTATTATAAAGTGTTACCCAGTGTTTTATTAACTGTCAGCTCTTCATTTTCGGTAACACTTTATAATAACATATATACATATATATATATATATATATATATATATTCACATAGCTAGAAATATGAGATAATTGTAATGACAGGGGCATGACAACAGAGTTGAGGATCCATCTACAGCTTTTATTTAGAGCATAGTCGGACAGGCAGGGTCAAAACACCAGGAAAAACAGTACATCCAAGATAATCCAAAAGAGTAATCAAGGAACAGCAAATGATCACAAACCAGGTAAACAGTCCAAGAACAAAACACGAAGGCAGGGCAAGGCAAGGCAAGACAAGGCAGAAACTAGTCAAGTCAAGTCGCCTTTATTCATATAGCGCTTTTAACAATACAGATTGTGTCAAAGCAACTGTACAGCATTAATTAGGAAAATAGTGTACATACTGGATCTGGCGGCTACGGTGACCTCGGAATAAGAAAGAAACAGACTAATATTAGCATAGATGCCATTCTTCTATGTGTGTGTGTTATGGGAAGCGTTCCCGGTTCCGGTTGTCCTAATTAATGCAGCCTAACAATCCTTTAATGGATTTGAATATTAGAAATGTGTTAGTGTTATGTGTAAGCCAGGTTAAAGAGATGGGGCTTTAATCTAGATTTAAACTGACAGAGTGTGTCTGCCTCCCGAACAATGTTATATAGATTATTCCAGAGTTTGGGCGCTAAATGGGAAAAGGATCTGCCGCCCGCAGTTGATTTTGATATTCTAGGTATTATCAAATTGCCAGAGTTTTGAGAACGCAGTGGACGGGGTGGACTATAATGCAATAAGAGCTCATTCAAATACTGAGGTGCTAACCCATTCAGGGCTTTATAAGTACTAAGCAAGATTTTAAAATCTATACAATGCTTAATAGGGAGCCAGTGCATAACCTTGAGGTCATGAACGCATGAATTAACATTTCTGCATTTGACATTTAGAGCATACGTCGTAATTTAGATATATTTTTGAGATGGAAAAATGCAGTTTTACAAATACTAGAAATGTGGCTTTCAAAGGAAAGATTGCTATCAAATAGCACACCTAGGTTCCTAACTGATGACAAAGAATTGACAGAGCAGCCATCAAGTCTTAGACGGTGTTCTAGGTTATTACATGCAGAGGTTTTAGGTCCTATAATTAACACCTCTGTTTTTTCAGAATTTAGCAGTAAGAAATAACTCATCATCTAGTTTTTTATATCGACTATGCATTCCGTTAGTTTTTCAAATTGGTATGTTTCGCCTATTATTTGAACCATGCTAATGCACTTCCATTAATGCCAACAAAGTTTTCTAGTCTATTCAAAAGAATGTCGTGGTCAATATCGTCGAACGCAGCGCTAAGATCCAGTAGCACTAATAGAGAGATAAAACCACGATCAGATGATAAGAGCAGGTAATTTGTAACTCTAATGAGAGCAGTCTAAGTGCTATGATACGGTCTAAACCCTGACTCGAAATCCTCACAGATACCATTTTTCTCTAAGAAGGAATATAATTGTGAGGATACTACCTTTTGTAGTATCTTGGACAGAAAAGGGAGATTTGAGATCCGTCTGTAATTAACTAGTTCTTTGGGGTCAAGTTGGGGTTTTTTGATGAGAGGCTTAATAACAGCCAGTTTGAAGGTTTTGGGGACATATCCTAATGACAATGACGAATTAATAATAGTCAGAAGAGGATCTATGACTTCTGGAAGCACCTCTTTTATGCTGTGTACACACTAAAAGATTTTAAAAATCTTATAAGATCTTCAAGATGTGAGAGACCACAAACATGAGGACAAAAATTCCTAGATTTAACCATTTTGCTCCTATAGTGTGTGGTGTCCTTGGGGTTTCCCCCACACATCAGGATTTCTGATCGTAAATATTTAACATGTTGAATATTTACGATTCGCGATTGGGGCGCCTCCGATGTTCTTCCGAGCAGATTCGGTTTAGATGATTTAACAAGTTTATACAACTCTTCCTCTCCTATAGTAGAGAATGAGTGGAATTGTTCCTCAGGGGATGGACTATAGCACACTATCTGATGTGATACTGTAGCTGACGGCTGCATGTTTACAGTTTTATCTCTAATAGTATCGATCTTAGAAGTAAAGTAGTTCATAAAGTCATTACTGCTGTGCTGTTGGGAAATGTCAACACCTGTTGATGATTTATTTTTCATTAATTTAGCCACTGTATTGAAGAAATACCTGGAGTCATGTTTGTTTCCTTCTAAAAGAGATGAAAAGTAACCATATCTAGCAGTTTTTAATACCTTTCTGTAGGATAGGGTACTTTCCCGCCAAGAAATATGAAATACCTCTAGTTTTGTTTTCCTCCAGGTGCGCTCCATTTTCCGGGCTGCTCTCTTTAGGGTGTCCAGTGTCAGACTGTTTTCCTTAATCTTCCTTAAGCGCAAGGGAGCAACCGTATCTAACATGCTAGAAAAGAGAGAGTCCATAGTTTCTGTTACATCATCAAGTTGTTCTGAGGTATTGGAAATGCTAAGGAATTGAGATAAATCAGGAAGATTACTTACAAAGCAGTCTTTTGTGGTAGAAGTGATGGTTCTACCATACTTGTAACAAGGAGTAGAATTTACAGTTGTAGCTATATGAAGTTTGCACAAGACTAAATAATGGTCTGAGATATCATCGCTTGGCTGCATAATTTCAACACCATCAACATCAATTCCATGTGACAGTATTAAATCTAGAGTATGATTTAGAAAATAAGTAGGTCCTGACATGTGTTGTCTAACTCTAATAGAGTTCAGAATGTCTATGAATGCTGATCCCAGTGCATCTTTTTCATTATCAACATGGATATTAAAATCACCAACAATTAAAACTTTATCTGCAGCCAGTACTAACTCGGATATAAAATCAGCAAATTCTTTAATAAAGTCTGTATGGTGCCCTGGTGGCCTGTATACAGTAGCCAGTACAAACATCACAGGGGATTTATCATTAACACTTGTTTTTCTGGATAATGTTATATGAAGCACCATTACTTCAAACGAGTTATACTTGAAGCCCGCCCTCTGAGAAATACTGAAAATATTGTTATAAATTGTAGCAACACCTCCCCCTTTACCTTTTGGACGCGGCTCATGTTTATAAACAGTAATCTTGGGTGGTAGACTCGTTTAAAATAATGTAATCATCAGGTTTTAACCAGGATTCTGTCAAACAGAGCACATCTAGGTTTGGATGCTAGGCAACGGCGTTCTGAATCCGCGCTGCCTGAGCTTCACAAGCGCGCCGCCTCGCTTCCCCCGTCTGCGCGTCCTGAAGTGCTTGATCAGCGCCACAGCTCCCCCGACTACAATGTCCAGCAAAACATCAGAATAGTCGAAAACCGGTGAAATATCGGGTGGTGTGTACTGCCGAATGTCCAGCAATTCGTCTCTGGTGAAACTGATTGCAGGGATATAACTAAAGACAGGACAAACTAACAAAAACATAAAAACAACTGCGGAGCACGCCACGGAGGCAGCCATCAGCGTCGGTGCCATCTTATGATCAGTGATCATATCATTTACAAAAAGTGCTTTCGTAGAAAAGGGCCTAATGTTCAGTAAACCAAGCTTTATCATTTGTTTATCCGTATTACATCTGTTTTTTATTTGTTAAACATCAATTAATTTGTTACTCTTAAATTGGTTTGGACTTTTTTTTGTATTTTCTAGTTCGGGGAACAGACACAGTCTCTATAGTGTGATATCTAGGTGAAAGAGTCTCTATGTGCTGAGAATTAACTGATTTCTGTGACGTGAGGCGGCTAGCAGATGGTCAGTTTAGCCAGTCTGTCTGCTTCCTGACCTTGGCCCCAGTTAGTCAAGTTCAAACTCAAAGACTACATGCCATATTTCTAGACAGAAGAGCGGCACCACCCCAGGAGGGATGAAGACCATCTCTTTTCAACAGGTCAGGTCTGCGCCAAAAACTCATCCAATTAGAAAACATAGCAGGCTAACAATCAACAGCAATCTGTTTGAGTGTGTGTGCATCTTTTATGGTCTGTGACTGATGAGCTAACAAGTCACATGTGAATACAATCAGAGATAATGAGTCCAGGCAAAGGATTATGGGGAACGTAGTAGTGAGGGAGTGAGAACAGTCTGGGGTGAATGGCAAACATTTCTAACTCTGAATATATATTAACCAAGGATCCATTAAACATAATTTATAATTTACCTTTGAAAAGCTTTGCAAATGTAACAAAAATGTATAAAAAATATAAAATACTATCGTCAAATACGAACAATTCCTAGATATACAATTTTATGGAATAGAGCCTTGTTTGAGAAAAAAGTTTGCAAAAGGAAAATATAAGTTTGCAAAAGGCTATAAGTTTACATATGAAAAAATGAGGAAACATTTCCCAAAGGTACCCAGTCAGATTTTAAAATCACATTTATTGGATCACAACAGAGAATCTCTTCCAGAGCACAAGTTCTTTGTGTATTTGTAGCCCTTTTTTGTTGTCCTGACTGTTGAGTGAGAAATGTGGCTTATTAGTGATAGCATGGTGAGGATTGTGTGTTCAGCCAGTGATGAATGCTAGCTATAGGAGCGCATGATGTAATTCACCCATTTTGTCTTTGGTTTGAAAAAAAACAACAACATGGTTTAACAGATTCATAGTTTTGAGAAATGGACTCTTTTGGACAGGGTCATTGTGAGTTAGGATGTCTGGCTAACAGAATAGATGTAGAGGAGTGATAACACTGGGAGGAGGTTGAGTTCAGCATGAACTCGAGAGTGAATTTGATTCGAATCATACAGTAGATGGTTGTTGTTGAACAGTTTTCCTCTTCTCTCCCCTATTCCAGAATTATTCGGGAGCACTTAGGAGAGCAGGAGGTGTCCATCTCGCTTACCATAGATGCCGTGGAGGACAGTGACCTGGGAAACTACTCCTGTTATGTGGAGAATGGCCATGGCAGAAGACAAGCCAACATCCAGCTCAGCAAGAGGGGTAAGAGACACTGAAGAGGACTGAGCAGCGCTTTCTAATATTTGAAAGCATCGTTTGTTCAGCTGTGAGCTGCTCAAAACCCTTCTGTGCCAATTCTATAGTCTTCTATTCAGTTTATTCAAATTCTTATGAAAGAACATACATGTCAGGTCAAGTCACCTTTATTTCTATAGCACTTTATAGAATACAGATTGTGTCAAAGCAGCTTCATAGTGTTAAACAGGAGAATAGTGTGTCAATAATACAAACAAAATTCAATTCTGCTGTAAAGCAGCTCTAGAAAGAGGACAAGAGTAAACAGTCAATATTTCAGTTAAAGTCAGTTCATCGTTGATTCAACTAAGTTCAGTTCTCTTCCAGTAGTATCTGTGCAGTCATGTCGATAGTACTGTCAAAAGTTCAGTGAACATTATCAAGGCCTTTTTCCAGTAACACAGTTTTGTTTTATGTTTTATATTGTAGAGCAGAAATTATGTCCATGTGGCTCAACAATCATTTACCGACTGCTCTCAGTTTTGGTGAAAAATAAGCCAATGTTAAAGTAATGTACTGTAAAATCCAGTTGTAATTGGTCAATGTGATCAGTTTCTGGCAACCAATATCCTTTTTTCCATGTCTGCACTTGTTGATTGTGAATGATGCTTCTTAACATCTTGCACCCTGCTTAGATGGAGATTTCGGCAACATTAAGGTTAATTTCCTTCTTAGAGACCTAGTTGCCTTTAGTTGAGAATATTTTTACATAAATCGTTTCTCTTTTAAAATATGAATCTGAAAAAGGCTTTGATGGCAGACTGATCCTCTTCATTCTGTACATGAAAGAGATCGGACAGATTATGCTGCAGTTGAGATTCACTGTTCACTCTGATGTTTATTTCATGCCTGCCGTGCTCTGTTAGTAAATACACATCTGTATGGACTGATTCTACTCCACTGCGGCCCTTGAGACTTGTTTTCTTTTAAATCCAATGGTTCAGATAATGGGAATAGAAACATCTGTTTGCCTAAGAATACATGTCCTGTTGAACCAACATCCGAGGGTTATGCTGTTAATGACCAGTTACCTTCAGATCCCAAAACCTGTGGGATCGATCGACACTTTGACACTTCCTTCCCCAGCAGACACACTGAGAGTTCAAGGAGTTAAACGGCACAACTCGACTTCCCAGCAGATGCATCAATGAGGCCGTTTCCTCTGACAAACAGTGAATCCATTAACTTCCATCCAGAACATTTAATACAAACACACGAAAGCAGCCGTCATCGCTGCTCTCTTACATGATCCACTATGTCACCGCCGATGAACAGAGCTGCTGATGCAGACTTGATGCAACATGAGAACACGAGGCCGACGTCTGTCAGGTCTACCTCAGCATGAGCTCTGCCCAGTTATAGAGCATTTATCTTCATCCGGCCGCTGCGGCTGAGCAGAGACGAATGATCCTCTTCAATTTAATATCACAGCAGCGATGGGACTTTCTCAGATTCTCAGCTCGCGTACAGACACAGAAGAAGAACATCACAAGCACAGGTGTGATCAGCCCCTGAATGCCTGATGTGCTCTCGTTCCTCTCTCTCTCTGTCGGGAATGACCTGCACTTCAGTGGGGGACAGTAACAGTATTTTCATTTTCTTACTGTACTTAAGTACATTTTTCAAGTATCTTTACTTTATTGGAGTATTTTTATTTAGAGAAACTTGTACTTCACAACATTCCAAAGCATAATATTGTACTTACATTTACGTACTTACGTACTACATTTCTTAAAATCATGTTGTTCCTCATTTTGAACAGGACAAATTGTCACCCACTCCAAGGAATGCCAAACCTAACAAAATTTGAAATACATAAATATACAAAGAAAAGTAAAACTAAATAAATAAATATTTATACTTTTATGTCCTTATTTATGAATATTTTTTTCTTTTTTTCCACATTTATTTATTTTTAATTTTATTTATTTCCACATTTATGCATTTATTTACGTATTTATTTCTATATTTATTTATTTCCACATCTATTTATTTCTTCATTTATTTATTTATACATTTCTTTATTTACATTTCATTGTCCGTAGGGTAATGAGGAGGGCGTGTTTTACCTCAGGAATAGTAATGAACCAGAGTAAGCGAGTTGTAAGCGTTGAGGCCACAGTGACACCTTGTGTTGCCCAAATGAAATACATAGTTTAGCCTACATGAAAAAGATATTTGCGAATCCAGTTGAGTTCGGACAAACACTTCCTGTTTACTTTACAACTTGCAGTGGTTCATACAGCTCCGTACATTCACAATGAATAATAATTTTGCTATTAATAAAATACTATTTACAGACAAGTGGAAATAAAAAAATTAAAGTGGAAATAAATAAATATAGAAATAAATAAAAGAAAAAATAAATAAATGTGGAAAATGAAAAAATATACATAAATAAGGAAGTAAAAGTATAAATAATTATTTATTTAAATTTTTCTTCTTTTCTTTGTATATTTATTTATATATTTATTTATTTATAATTTTGTCAGTTTTGGCATTCCATAATAGTGGTGTCTGATTCGTGAACAAACTGATTCTTTTTAATTAACCTGATAAATTGGTTTGCAAATCACAATTCATTTGTGAATTGATATTTGTGAGGTCCTGACTCTCTGTGGTCATTAAAATTCTCATGGCACTTCTCGTAAAGAGTAGGGGTGTAACCCCGGTGTCCTGGCCAAATTGCCCCCCTGGCCTTTGACAATCATGGCCTCCTAATAATCCCGAACCACTTGATTGGCTCTATGACTCTCTCTCCTCTCCACCTGTAACTGGTGTGTGGTGAGCGCACTGGCGCCGTTGTCCTGTGGCTGCCGTCGCATCATCCAAGTGGATGCTGCACACTGGTGTTGGTTGAGGAGAGACCCCCCACATGATTGTTAAGTGCTTTGGGTGTACAACAATACACAATAAAGCACTATATAAATGCATCATTCATTCATTGAACTGGACTGATCGGATTGCAGCTGTTCTTGATTCCGCTCAGAGTGAGTCTTCAGTAAATAATTCAGTGATTCAAATGATCCGCTCAGAGCGAGTCTCCAGTCAACGACTCACTGATTCAAATGATCCGGTCAGAGCGAGTATATTTAATATATTTAATGTTTTAATAGTGTATGACATGCCACCCTCCCCCAGGTGTTTTGAGCAGTAAGATTATATAAAAAATATATAACATTATTGAATGTACAATTTAAAATGACAAAATAAACATTCATCGAACAGTACTTTTTTCATTTTAATATTTAAATACATTAAAAATCAAATACTTTTGTACTTTCACTTGAGTAAAATTGAAAAAGATTACTAAATACTTTTACTGGAGTAATATTTTATTAGGGTATCTGCTCCTTTATTCATTGTGCACAAGCCGACGGTCATTGTGATCAGTCTGCGCACTGGTAAACACAGACTCAGAGGAGCGCTGGAAGAGTTTGCTCACTTTGGTGTTTGTTTGACAGGTTTAACACACACAGGATGGAAAGAACAACATCAGGAGTCCTAAACTGAGGGAGAGACATTTCAGTCTGACCTGATCACATTGTTTATTGACAACGCGAGAGTTTGCTGGTGTACATCAGGTGTATTATAACTGTCTCTTTCTGTCTGTCTGTCTCTCAGCAGAACTCATGTATACGGTGGAGCTGGCTGGAGGTTTGGGAGCCATTCTGCTGATGTTGATATTTTTGGTGTCCCTGTATAAGTGTTACAGAATTGAACTCATGCTCTTCTACAGAAATCATTTTGGCAGTGAGGATGTGGATGGAGGTAAGGAATATTAGAAAGAAGTTCCAACAATCTAGATAGAGCACTGAAGTATTCAATAATATTCTTCTCTTGAGCAACTATGGTGGATCAGTTTCTCCTTCACAATACAGTAATCAGTGAAGAGGCACAAGGCATTAAAATGCTTTATTGACCCAATGTTTGGTCAGCTTATTGAAAAAGATATTTTCATGAACATTAACATATCCCTAGGATTTGTTGCTGGTTGGTTTTGTGCCACTCTTGTGTCCCTCAGATATAGATTGATTGCATATAGGAATAAGAATAAATATTGAAAAACCTAATAAATAATCATATGAGTCTTTAATCCATTTCATTGAAATTACTTGCCATATGACTTGGTCATGACAGTGACCATAAGAGCCAACACCTTTAGTCAGCTGTTTCTCCCGCCCTTTCTCCTAATTGCTTATATCAAATTTTGTTGATGTTCCAATGGTTTGATCTTCTCAGTTTTCTGATGTGAGTCTTGCTCCAGTGGGGCTTTTCTTTGAGAGTCATTACTTCTGCTTTTGGGCCGGTGAAGCCTGCAGATGTTAACCGGTGCTTCTGTAGCTGATGGAGAAGGACGATGAGAAATAGAGAGGCAAAGGGACACTAAAACACCTTCGACTTTAATTCATTATCAGACGTTCGCTTATTGTGCCTCTTCAGGTAGACAGAAGCTATTTTTCCATGGCCTGAGAGCCAGAGCTAGACAGATCTTCTCAGTTGACATCAGTGTAGCATGTTCTGCTGAAGCCCATACTGAACCTGACGCTTCCTTATAGAAACACCCATACTCATGATCCGCTGGAATGTCTCTGCGAGGTGATTTCTGTCCAAATAAACTTGAGGAAACACCTGACATCTTAGAGCCTCTTACACAAAGCTGTTTTTCATGATTAAAAGCTTTTTTAAGTACTTTTAATTACGGTAAATTACCTTTTAAATTATTCGTAATCTGACGAAAGTTACTTTTTATTGATTACATGATTACATATTATTCACGCAATAGCAATAAATTATTCATAATTTATTGATTCTCCCTAATTCCTCTTTTTCATATTTGAAATGTTACTTTCTAAAATAGCCTACCGCTTACATACATTCAGAAAGTCTGTCAGTTTTGTGGACATTCACACATTCAGAGAACGGTCACTAGTCAGGAGGACACACAGCATTCCTCCACTGGATTCAAGAAGTGTTTCAACATTGCATTAACGTCTGATGAACATTAATGTTTATTTTAATTATCACTCAGTGGGTTATTTAACCATGTATTACTGTGTCTTTGGAAGGCTTTTGTCTTTCAAACACATTAAAATGCACAAATTCACATTATTACATGTAATGCAGGGATTCCCAAACTTTTTTTGTCATCTGATCATCTTTCACCTAACATTTTTACTTGAAGAACCCCTGAGATCTTAAAATAAATATTTTAATAATTAAGTATCCAATTTGCATGTTCACGGTTCTCTGATATTGCTTAATAGTCACATGACATACAGGTAAACAAAAATATTTCATTTTTTAGCAAGTGTTTTTTTGTTGTTGTTTTTTGATTGATGTTATTTTAAAATGATTTATTTTAATTTTATATTCTTATGATTTAATTAATTATTAGCTTTTCATTAAATTCACAAACCCCAGTTTGGGAAACCTACACAATGTAATGTTTAATGCACTTTATGTTGTTAATAACAACGAATTGAATATATTTTTTTACTCTTTGTATTTATATATCAATATATGGTACAAGATTATCCTATTTAAATCACTGTGATAAACGAGTTAGGTCAGAAGTAATCTAAAAGTAGTCTGATTATATTATCTAAAATGTGTAATCTAATGGATTACGTTACTAACTACAGTTTTTGTCATGTAATTTGGAATCAGTAACAGACTACAGTTTGTACGTAACCTACCAGCTCTGGTTACAGGTTATGAGTGCTGCTAGTGTGGTGGAAACCCGTTTCACTGTGATTCTCCATTCTCTGTGTGTGTTTTAAGAAAATAAAGACTATGACGCATACGTGTCCTACACTAAAGTGGATCCAGACCAGTGGAGTCAAGAAACTAGACAGGAGGAACGTTTTGCATTGGAGATTCTGCCAGACGTTCTGGAAAAGCATTATGGGTATAAACTCTTCATTCCTGACAGGGACTTGATCCCAACTGGAAGTAAGTTGCATTTGTTGTAAGGTGCGTTTGTGTGTAGTGCTGCATCTTCATCCTGTCGAATGTTGTATGGATATTTTCAGCATAATTTTTCATTTCAAGTACATTTTGTTTGATAAGCTTTTTGTTTGGTCTGTGCATTTTTCTAAATTCAAAGTAATTTTTATAACAGTGCTTTGAGAGAAAGTTTCTTGTACGTCATTTGCTTGTGTTTGTACTTCTCTCATTCACTTGTATGTTTTTTGTTTGCTGGTTCGACTTGACACGTATGTCTGTCTTGCCATTTTTACTTGAACATTTGAGTGTGTGTTTTCTCTACCTTCATGTCTTGTCTGGGGACTATTAGATGTTAATATGGGACGAGGTGCTCACAATCAGGGCTAAGAAATCATTTATTTGTGTTTGTGTTGAGTTATTGGCTCTTCAATGAGCATCTCAAGCCGTGTTTGATGTAAATCACTTCACTGATGTGATCAATTAAAATGAAGGGAAGTGTAAGTGTATGTTACTCTGTTAGCCCTGTTAGCCCTGCAGCTACAAGTCCCATATTAAACTGGATAAACTGGTGATCGTAAATGAAAATCCTAAGGCAAAAAGTCACAGTTATCCCAGTTTCTCTTGTGGAAGTCCTCGCTGGTTTGTTTCTGATTGATTTTCTGCTGAATCAGCTGTTCAGACTTTCAATGTTGAAATATTTATGTCTAGGTTTCAGCAATGATCATTTCCAGGATAACACAAGACTCCTTAGAGGTATTCTTCTATGGCTTTTTCCACTTGTCAACAAATCTGACTCACACCTTTTTGCAGACTTCACCTTTGGGGGAAATTGGGACATGGTGCTGAGTTGAACCGGGATTCAGGTTGAGCAGAACATCATCATATGCTCTGAATGTAGAAAATAAGATGAAGCGATCGACTTGGATGAGTCTAAGAGAGGCTTTGGGAGTTTCTGCTGTTAGAGAGCGAGTGATTTTGGACGGGTGGGGTTTGAACAGTGTTATTCTGCTTTTCCTGTTTGTTGTGAAGTAGGGCTAAAAAAGAGGCAGGGAAGAGATACGATAGAACTCAGAGCTTGATTACTGCATTAAACAGTAAGACCTTATTGACTAGATGTGTTACTGTACTGGTGTAGTAATCCAACACAGTGGTTCTCAATTCCAGTCCACATTTTGCATGTCTCTCTTATCTGACGTCCTCTCTTCAGTTCATAGACCTCCCTACAATTGAACTGATGATCTGAATCAGGTGCGTTACATAAGGAAGACATGCAAAATGTGCAGAGCAGTGGTACCGCAGGACTGGAATTGAGAACCACTGGTCTAACACACAAACAAACACAGACACACACACACACACACACACACACACACACACACACACACACACACACACACACACACACAGATAACTCTCTCTTTCACCAGATTGAAGCCACAGTTGTGACCAATGAACGAATGCCGTTTGCAGTCCCGTTTGTCAAGTTTACGCCAGAGTAACGCAGCACTGAACACGTTTCATTTTCTCAGCAATGCTATATTAGATCAATATATAAAACTTAGGAACTGCCACAGGGTCTCATTCAGAGCAGGATTTGTGTTCGATGTCTGTCCTGTTAGCCCGTTCTGTGTTGACAGTGTGTTCCATCATTGAGTCATTCTGCATTCTGCTGTTTTTATTTCACATCTTAAGGCTGGAATACACTACACGACTTTTACAATCTGAACTTTACAAAACTGGCCATCATACACTAAACCAGTGGTTCCCAACCCTGGCCCTTGAGGCACCTCAACACTGCACATTTTGCATGTCTCCTTTCTATGATGCATATTATAGTCCAGGGCTGTCCAAACTCGGTCCTGGAGCGCCGGTGTCCAGCAGAGTTTAGCTCCAACCCTAATTAAACACACCTGAACAAGCTAATCAAGCTCTTACTAGGCAGAGAACCTTCCAGTCAGGTGTGTTGAGGCAAGTTGGAGCTAACCTCTGCAGGACACCGGCCCTCCAGGACCGAGTTTGGGCAACCCTGTCTTGGAGTCTAGGAATACTTAACCCTAACCCTAACCCTAATGAGCTGATGACCTGAATCAGGTATGTTTGATTAAGGAGACATGCAAAACGTGCAGTATTGGGGTGCCTCCAGGACCAGGGTTGGGAACCACAGCACTAAACGACTGAGGATCAGACACTAGTAGATTTTACAGTCATTCCGATCACAACAAAGTCACACAGAAACATGCATCTTGTTGCTAGGAGATGCGTGACAAATGAAAACATTATGTGTTCTAAAATCGGCTCAAAATATCAAACATGTTAGATATCCTCCCACTGGATGGATTCATAGTTTGACACTAAAGAAATCGGAGTCTGTGACCATCAGACACTACGCGATTTACTGTGAAATCTGTCAACTCAAATCTGCAGACTGGCTCCGACTTTCGGCGACTAGCGTCAACTTGTTAAAACTGTAAATCAGGGGAAAATCAGGGCAAAAGTCATGTAGTGTATTCCAGCCTTTAGTGAGGTTCTTCAACAGATGGTTTTACTCCACACAGTGCTATGCTGTGACTTTAAATCAGTTTTCACTCATAATTTGCTTATAATTTTCACAAATAATTACAGAGAGTACAACAGCAAGTAACACATTCAATTAAACATCCAATTTTGAAGTAGAAAGTAGAGTATTTTCTTTAAAAAAACATTTTTTACTGTGTAGGACACATGAGATTTGTGTTTCCTTCTGTGTTGTTTGCATGTTGTCCTTTTCAAAGCAAAACAGCTTGAATAAAAACATGAATGATCTTAGTATTTTTGCCGGATTTGAAAACGTGGAAACTGTTGACGCTCTGTGTCTCTTTCTTGTCTCTCAGCCTACATCGAGGATGTGGCTCGCTGCGTCGACCAGAGCAAACGTCTCATCATCGTCATGACGCCCAACTACGTGGTGAGGCGCGGCTGGAGCATCTTCGAGCTGGAGACACGGCTGCGCAACATGCTGGTCACCGGCGAGATCAAAGTCATCCTCATCGAATGCGCCGAGCTGCGGGGAATTATGAACTACCAGGAAGTGGAGGCTCTCAAACAGACCATCAAACTGCTGACGGTCATCAAGTGGCCGGGACCCGAGAGCAGCAAGCTCAACTCCAAGTTCTGGAAGCAGCTGCAGTATGAAATGCCCTTTAAGCGGCCTGAGCCGAAGCTGTCGCATGAGCAAGTGCTGGATGTCAGCGAGCAGGGCCCGTTCGGAGAGCTGCAGACCGTCTCTGCCATCTCCATGGCTGCAGCCACCTCCACCGCCATGGCCACCGCGCATCCCGAGCTGCGCTCCACGTTCCACAACACTTACCACACGCAGCTTCGGCAGAAGCACTACTACAGGAGCTACGAGTATGACATTCCCTCGTCTGGGACCCTCCCGCCACTGTCTTCGCTGGGCAACCAGCACACCTACTGCAACATCCCCATGACTCTGCTGAATGGCCAGCGAGCGCAGGGGAAGCCAGGCCGCGAGCAGCAGCAGTCCCTGGAGGAGCAGCACGTCAACAACACCATGCTGCCACTGCTGCCCCGTGAGACCAGCATTTCCAGCGTGATCTGGTGATGGCGTTGGGAATGGACGTTTCTGTGAATGGCACTTATTAAGACCCTTAAAAACTGCTGCTGTTGACTTTGCACCGTGATTCACAGGGGTTCGAAACTGAAGGCATGTGATGAAGACAGGCCAACGGGGAGGTTCATTCTATCACAAACAGCTTATTCATACTCAAGGAATACAGGGTCTTGTATATATATTTGCAGTTTCTTTGTAGCATTGGAATTTTTTCAGTTTTGATCTTCTGATTTCTTTTTCAAATGTCTGATTTGTCCTTTTCCCCTTATGAAATGAGCAGAGACACGTGAGATAGAGTAAAGGCTGACCTGTTGTGTTTTTCTCCTGACTTGTTTTCAAGTACAATACTTGTTTTCTAAATCATTATATAATTCGTGGCGTTGTACTGTTTCTTTCTTTTGAGGTTTTTTTTTTTGTTTTGTTTTTTTTGTGGTCAGTCAATGAGATGTATCTACTTTGAAGAAAAACACCATTATGCAAATGCTCCTGAGGCCTGAAAGCTCTTCTTCTTCCTGAATGAATGACTGAGCAGATGAAGTTCAAGAGGAAAAACTAGATGTCGTAATGATGCTCTAGTGTCTCTGCTGCTCTCTGTTTCTCTCTCTAAGCTGTTGAGACTTTCTGTTAGAAAAGAAAGAAAAAACAGCTTTGCTGTTCAGCTTGATAGGGAGAACTTAAGAAAAAATTTATATTATTTTAAAAGAAAAAAATCTATTTTTATAACAAAAGGATTTGCTTGGAAAGACACAGTAGGTCATTTCATTCATGTCATTACTGGAAGCACTGGAGGGACATTTTGGCTCACCAATTTAAGAGAAAAAAATACAAGTATTTGTAATGTTCCTGTCTAATCATGGATGAGCAAGGGAAAACCAGTTGTTTTTATTTTCCCCGCGATACTGGCATTCATTTCTGAGTGTGCATAATGACTAGATATGTATTAAATTTATAATATATATATATATATATATATATATATATATTTGCAAAGAAATTTCACATCAGTAAAAGTGCTTATGATACAAATCCATGTCTCTAAATAATTACATGATTTGTTCTCTTCACTGCACATTGAAACCTGTTAACCTCCACTGTAGTGCCTCCTGCTGCTCCACCACAAGCACCATCCACAGGTTAAGAGCGGTACTGCATCACAGTTACCATGACACCACTGCTCTCCAGCTCATCCGTGTTTCTCGTTCTACTGTAGTGATCGTAGAGGGGAAGGAGCAGACCTGGGCCAGCTTTTACCTCATTTTATAATAAGGGTCAGTCCTGTGTCAGTCATTAGGGGCAGCTTACATACACCTCTACTCTAGCTTAACGACAGAAAAGCAGAGGGTCGATTGAATGTTCGGTGTATTAACAGGGGGGTCAGTTATTCAGCCCTCATACGTCCAGGTGTTTATTCATGAAGCTGCCCGTCGCACACAGCCAAGACGTTCAGTTTAGCATTAGACGCCATGTTTTTTATTAGTCTCATTGTCAGTCTAATGAAGGCTTTACATCAATAACTTACAACTCGCATGTAAATGAAGTGAAACCAAAGCTGGCAATTAGCGATGCCTTCTCAGATGCGCTGGTGGATATCAGGGGAAATTGAACTAGGAACTAGTGTAGTTGAAAAGGCTTATGAGGGGGGAAAACCATTGTTGTACCAATCCATACAGAACAGCATAACGTCATCGCCAGACCCCATGTCCTGTTCACAGTGTTTATTTGTTGAGCAGTGCCAAAAGAGTCCTTTTTTAATATTAGGAACAGATTATATGCAAAAATCTGTAACACTCAAAGGTGGGGAGAAAAGCAACAGGGTCGTGCCAGCCTTCTCATGAAGTATTTCATCCCAAACAGACCCCAGATTCCCAGTTTGTAAATGTCAGCTCAGTTTTGAATAATCTGTTGGTGCTGAGCTTCTTTGATCTGAGAGGACACCAATCTGATTATTTACACATTATTATTTGAATCATATTTTTACAAGTTTTTTTTTCTTGTATTTTATATTATATTGTGTAAATATCAGTTGAAACTGTAATAAATTGAAGACAATCTAGTCACATTCATGAAAAAAATCTGTTGGCATTTTCCAAGAGAGTGGCAAATTGTTTCATGAGCATTTCTGATATTACTGATCAAAATAAGAATAACAACAACAACAATAATATATAGCACAGAATTTGTCTCTGGCATTTTCACCTTACACTAAAGATTAAGGTTCTGTTTTTCTCTTGTTTTTGAAATGTTCTCTTTTTTTATTCTGTATCTGCAATGTTAATTGAAGAGAAACTATCATTAATAAAATACACATTTAATAATATTTCATGTCATCCAATTTCTTTAACATGAGTTATTTAAAAAGTGAAACAGGGTTAGTGTGTTGTAATGGAAAATCAGAATAATAAGATGTTGAAAGGTTTAGAAGTACAGGTCAGTTGAACTGTTCAGCTTTCTGTTCTGTAAATTGGTGTGGATATACGTTATATGCAACAATCTGCTTTTTGAACATTAAATTGTTTGTGTAAGACATGAGATCCAGCAGATGCGCATGCAGACTACGAATGCATTTCTAGGTTGCAAAAAAAGGGTTTTTCTTACGCTAACACAAAAGCACAATAATACGCTAGAAAAGATAATCTTCTCTACAAAAAAATTATAGGGGAAACCTAAGCCAAGATATGTACTAATATTGTGTTCAAATATGAATAAATAATCATTATATTACAGTTTTTTTAAAATGCTTGTGCACAGTTTTTGAAACAATAGCTCCATTTTTCAAAACTCTACACACAAAACCCTACACACATGCATTTGCACAGCACTCGCACATACATGCATATGCACATTTAAAGACTAAACAACTACATTTTAGCCTAAAAACTTTTAAAACTACATTACGTGACCCAACAATATTATTATTTATAAACAGTGTTGGGGAGTAACTAGTTACATGTAACGGAATTACATAATTTAATTACAAAATAAAAGTAATTGTAATCAGTTACAGTTACTCAGAGAAAATGTGTAATTAAATTACAGTTACTTATGAAAATGTTAAGGATTACAAAGGGGGTTACATCTGATTTTTTTCACACACACTCCCACATACAGATTTAATTAAGTTCTTTCATAAATTGCAGTAACTGCTCTAAAATATGAAACACCAAAGTTTCAGAAGTTTACAACATGCTTATCCGATAGGGTTTATGTATATGCTTTATTTTTTTTAATATTAACTGTTTGTTTTTTTTCTAAGGGATTGTTAGGGTTAAGGTTAGGTTTTGAAAAATTACAACAGCTCCCCCCGACCTAGCACCCGTCTAGGCAGGTTTGGAATAGGGAGACTGAGGAAGCGTGCACGGGCCTACGCCTGTCAGACTATACCACATCGTGTGAGATTATCTCCGCTCTAGGAGCTGGGCCTGTATAAGCATTGGGCCTAAAAAGTGAAAGTTAGGTTTGTAATCGCTGAGGTTATGGCGGTTAGGTTTAGAGCGTGGTTTGGTCCAGCACTATAATTAGATCTGAGTAGATGTGAGAACACGAATTTCTTGACGGAACTTGCTCCAGATCGGCGAACCAGACCGAAACTCGAAAGTCGCAGTTTGATAATCCCGATCCAGCATCGTGCTCTGCCAAGCAGTTTTGTTTCAGCCAAATTGCCATGTTTCAAAGACGATATTTGTTACAGGAAGGCATTTTTTGCCATTATTGTTTCCTGCTCCCTCAAATCAGTTAGATTGAGGGAAATGTTCAAGACAAGGGTTAGGTTTTGAAAAATTACAACAGCTTCCCCCAACCCAGCACTTGTCTAGGAAGGTTTAGAGTAGGAAGACTGAGGATGCGTGCACGGGCCCACGCTTGTCAGACTATACCACATCGTGTGAGATTATCTCCGGTCTAGGAGCTGGGCCTGTCTAAGCATTGGGCCTAAAAAGTGAAAGTTAGGTTTATCACCGCTGGGTCTGTTACGGGTAGGTTTAGGCTGTGGTTTAGTTCAGCTTTAGATTTAGCAAACTCGTGTTGAACCGGCTAGGTTTCAAATCGCTGAGGTTATGGCGGTTAGGTTTAGAGCTGGTTTGGTCCAGCACTATAATTAGGGATTAAAGAATCCAAAAATCGAAACAGAGTCCGATTTCGGTTGTGCGCTGTCCTTCAATTCCTTCTGGCCACTTCCTAGCTCCGTTCAGGCCTGGCCCCACGACCAGAGCCCGCCATCCATTCGTGCTTCTTGACCTTTAGATGAATTTTCAATCATGAATCATAAAATGTCTCTTAGTATAGTAGAGTTAAGTAGTCCTAGGGTTAGAATGGGTAGGTTTTAGGTTCTCTAGGGTTAGAATGGGTAGGATTAGAAAAAATCCAAGAGCTGAAGCACAGTCCAGCTCTGGTAATGCCCAGTCCTTCAATACTCCTTCTGGCCGCTCTCCCGTCTCGGCCAAG